AGCAGCCTTGATCTTGATCAGCTTATACTCTTGTTCAATGGATCGCAGTCCTCGTCCTCCTTTCTCTCTAGGTAGATATAATACAGCTGTTGAGCTAAGTGGATGTCGTCCTCCATTCCCGCTGATGATCTTCCTTGTTTCTCTATCGATAATAGGTAGCTCAGCAAGTGGCCAGTGCTGGGTCCACATAGGATATGTGAGCACCGGAAGTGCAAACTGGTTGGTAGCAAGGACGCGATTATAATCAGATAGTGGGCTTGTCCAGATCACAGATAGCCTACTCAAATACTCCTTTGCTGCTTCTGTAATTATTATTATTATCATTATCATTATTATTATTATTATTATTATTGGAAACCATATTTAAAGAATTTCCTTGGTATCATGCTCTCAGATCTCAGTCAGTGGTGAGAATTTTCCTGCCCCATCCCCTTATCAGATTCCTTGGATGCTGACAAATATTTTTTTACACGTAGCCTGAAGGAGTCCCCCAGGAATACTCCTACAGCGTACTGATGAACATGAATACAAGTAAGGACGCTAGTTTATATTGAACCTTTATCAAGACAGAGAGGTATTCTTTTGTTTTTTATTAAAGGAGCAGGCGTAGCTCAGAGGTCAATAGTTCGACTTCTCTCTGTTCTGTGTAAAAAGGAACACTGTTAGTAAGAGGGGGTAGAGGGCGCACCTTCAAGCGCATTAAACATGAGCCCCTGGCTCGGGAGAATTGGGCAACCACTCCCCGCGTTATCGAAGTAAAATAAATTACCTTTACCTCTTTTACCTTTTATTTTAACTCACCAGATTGGGAATTAGGGAGTGAGTGAGTGAATAATTTATTTAATCTCAGAAAAAAAGTTTCATTAATATACGAATTTTGTTTCCTGAAAGCTGAGTAAAATTAAATTAAAGGAATATATAGGCTCCTGATCCTTTTGATAATTGAAATGCTTTCTTATACAGCATCATCCTTCACCAAAACACTGGAGCTTGCTTTACCTAAAAGTGCAGTCGACGGTTCTGCCTTTGCCAAGATCTCAGTCATTGGTAAGAAATTAATTGAGTAAAATAATATAACTGTATTTTTAGGATGAGCGCTTTTCGAGCGCAAAGATGAGAGCAACGTTGCGTGGGTCCGTGGCCTGCTTGAATTCAGCAAGATTTATCTAAGTCTTAAATCTTAAAACAAAAAAAATTGATAAGAAATGATGAGTAGAAATCATACACAGCCTTATCTAACATCTTTTCTCATCAAGACTTAGATGATTAAGGCCCAGCCCAGGATCATGCGTGCGCATAAATTAATCAAATTATACAGTCAATGTCATTAACGTTGTCCACCAAAAAAAGACATTTACACATTTACACATTTAGACATTTAGACTGAAAGAAATATCACGTGTTTCCTCGAAGGTTCTGGCATAAGCCAAATGCTGAAATACCATTCTCCATCTTAAATCCTCAGGGCATTCTGGATTTTCGATTCACGAGTTGAATTTTGCATTTAAAGTTCAGGCTGACGAACACGAGGCAAAGAATACATAATGAAACACGTGATATATCTTTTAGTCTGTGTAAATGTCTAAATGTCTAAATGTGTAAATGTGTAAATGTCTYTTTTCGGTGGACAACGTTAATGACATTGACTGTAACTGGTCACTATAAACCCACGCCCTTATTTTCATGTTACTATGTGACGCATACTCAAACAGAAAACTGCTGACTCTGGGCAGATGTTCTTTTTGTAACGATTCTGAACAACAAAAACAAAAGCCAGAAAAGTGAGCTAGAAAAGACTCGGCGAAAAGAGAAGACGAAAAGCGAGCTATGCTAGCAGGGTACTCCTCGTTATTTTACCTTCACTTTCATTCTTCCCAGGTGACATTTTGGGCTCTTCCTTCAACAATCTAGACAACCTACTGCGCATGCCCTATGGCTGCGGCGAGCAAAACATGGTGAACTTTGCTCCCAACATCTTTATTTTGAAGTACTTAACTGCGGTAAACCAGGTCACTCCTGCTATTAGAGAAAAATCTGAGAGATACATGGTGCAAGGTAGGGATAAGTTGCAGAGGCATAGTCTTGAACAAATAAGTGGTCATTCTTTCCTTGATATGGGGACGGGGGGAGGAATTGAGGGAAATATCGACATTTACAGTCAAAAATAACTATTTCGTTCCTCCTTACCCCTCAACACTTGACTCTTTAGAAAAATCACGTGATCTTTTTAATTGATTACTCTTTTGTGGATGTTTTTCACACGGCAGACAAGCCAACAGCTTTTTTTAGTTGAGAAGTGAATTTAATATGCACCAGCTAATCAGTCAAAATTGGTGGCATTTTTGTTGTAAAATGCAAATCAATTCCTATTTGGAAAGGAGTTGACCACCTGTGGTTCTGTCGGTCGCATAGTTTAGTTCGCGTGTATACCTCGACGTCACCCAAACTAGTTCTCCCACTAGTTATTATTTCAGATTACGAAGTGCTTTTCGATGTTCTAATTCAGTACCCTTCTGTAATGATTGCTCTTGTCGTAGGATATCAACGAGAACAGACCTACAGACACAGAGATGGTTCTTACAGTGCATTTGGTGAGAGAGACYCGGAGGGAAGCATGTGGTAGGTGGTCATCTAATCCCGTGGAGGAGTGGGAGGAGGAGGAGGGAGGGGCGTAAACCAAGGGATTTACATACAGCACAGTTAATACTCTTCCATCATCTCAATCATCTCGGTGCCTTACATCCCAAGTGATTTGCACGGCAAAATTCAAAAAGCGGCATTAAAAAGTGAGAACATCTTAAAGCAACAATTGAAAAAAATTGAAGTTTTCCTTTTACAACTGTATTGTGTGTTTCTGAAGCTTTCAGGAAACGCATACTTGAGTATTTAAATTCAGCCATTCGTTGAAGTCCTTAGGAACGTCACGCAACTCTTTTTTTCCCCACGCAATGTGAGAAGCGTTGTGTGACGACACTAAGAACAACTGAGCTGTTCCTGAATTTTCCCTGATATTTTATATCTCAGTACCTTGAGTAAGTACTGATTGGGTCAAAATATTCAAGTAAAACCTGAGAGCGTTTACGAAAAGTTTCTTAGAACTTAGGACAGGGTCTGGAAGGGGGGTCCGAATCCCGAATCGTTCGCTTTTTTTCCCGGAAATTGTAAGCAATTGTAAGCATATTCAAAGACGTTTTAATATCTATTCTATTTATTAATGTTTTCACGTTTTCCCCGAAAATCCGAAAGCAAAATCCCACACCCCGGCAATGAATTCGGTAATTCCCGAAGCTCACATACCCTTTATCGCCTTCTCCTTTGGACCTAATTTAAAGCTGCACTACGTTTAACTAATGACTCTTTATCTTGGTTATTCAGGTTGACAGCGTTTGTAGTCAAGTCATTTGCGCAGGCGCGCAAGTACATATACGTGGATCCTAAGTCATTGGACTTGAGTCTGTCGTTCATGGTGCGCAGGCAGAACAAAGATGGCTCGTTCCCAACAGTTGGTACTGTCCATGGCAGCTACCTCAAGGTAATTTGATAAATCGCTCATAGATTTTCATTGACTGCCATCTCATTGATCGTAGATAACGTCTTAAGATTTTCAAAACTTGTGTGGAATCACGAGCGCAGCAAGTGGCTTCAATGTAAAGTTTTGAACATTTTAAACAAAGTGGTCATAAATTTCCATTGACTGTCCTCTTAATTATAGAAATTTGTATGTTATCATAAAAAAATATTATTGATCCAGGGTTACTCTCGGCTGTTTTCCTCCCAAATTGGGTAAAGCTATTTTTTTTCAATGGAAAACTGGAAATTATGTTCAGCGTAGAAACCTCAGCGTACTATGTCCAAAGATAAATCCAAACTTATTACTTGATCTTTAATTTTTATCTTTCTTTATAGGGTGGGATGAAAGGTGAATTTTCGCTGACTGCTTTTATTGTCATTGCACTAGCTGAAGCTAAAAGCGAATCTAAGGTAAGATTGATATGCGATTATCTTGTAATGGCACGGATTTGTGAACAAATTCAACTGCGATTGTTGTTTGCAAAGATCAAAACAAGATGCACTTCAGATGTCGCCGTTATGTGAAGAAATATGTCGCATTCAAATAAGCTACATTACATCCTATAGAATCTTTCAAACCATGCAACAACACTAAACTAACGTTGGCTGGCTTGATTTCTGATGTAAACAGCCATTAATAACGAGCCCCTTGCTTGGAAGAATGCGCAAACACACTAGATAAATGGTGGAGTAATAGGAGCAAAAGTGTGCAATTTGTTCCTTTACTTTTTATCTACTGTCACCCTCTATTTTTATCCTTTATTTACACCCTGTGCATACCCATGGTACTTTGCGGGCGGGGAGTGGCCTTTCTTTTATCTTATTCGGGGAAGACCATTCTATCTAGTTGTAAACTACATACTAAAAAGTGTACTTGTTTACTGATACTTAGAATGTGGATGTGGCAAAGAAAGATGCTGTGCGTTACCTTGAGAATAACTTGGACGCCATGGAGAGGGCAGACGACGTGTATGCACTGGCTATTTCAGCTTATGCACTTAGACTGGTTAACAGTGGATCCAGTGCTAGCAAGGCCTGGTCTGCTCTGTTATCCAGGGCGATAAGAAAAGGTAAGGACATTGAGGGGAGGGGAGGGAAGGGAAGGGGTTTGGTTAACAGTAGATCAAATGCTAGCAAGGCCCGGTCTGTTCTGTTATCCAGGGCGATAAGAAAAGGTAAGGATAATAAGGGGAGGGGAGGGAAGGGAAGGGGTTTGGTTAACAGTGGATCCAGTGCTAGCAAGGCCTGGTCTGCTTYGTTATCCAGGGCGATAAGAAAAGGTAAGAAAATTAAGTGGAGGGGAGGGAAGGGGTGGGGTTTGGTTAACAGTAGATCAGGTCTGCTCTGTTTTCAGGGCGATAAGAAAAGGTATGGTGGACATTGAAGGGAGCAAGGAGGGGAAGGGTGGGAAGGGTGTTGGTTAACAGTGGATCCATTTCTAGTAAGGCCTGTTTCCTCTGCTTTACAGTGCGACAAGGAAAGGTATGGGCATGTTGGGTAATAGGTTTTCAACAGATTACTTAATTAAAATTGTTGGCACACTCTAAGAGGACAGCGTGTATTTTCTATTTTGATTCGTTGTTGTCCCTGTACTGTCGCTCATGGCAATTCTTCTTTCTTAATAGATGGAACAATTCACTGGTCTAATGCTAAGCAAAATAACGACAAGTCGACAGAGTATCGACCCTACTACAGGCCCCGTTCTGCAGACGTGGAAATCACAGCATATGCACTGCTTACCCTGAGTCTGAACCAAGATATTTCTACTGGGCTTCCTGTGGTACGGTGGCTGTCGCAACAAAGAAACTCACTTGGCGGTTATTCTTCCACTCAGGTAAGAACAGCAGTGACGTCCTTTGTCTCTAGTCAAAGTAAAGAAAGGTTGTCTTCCATTAGTTTTTTAGCTCAAAATATTTTCACCCAAAATCTGCCTAAAATTGAAATTTTCGATGACCCCGGGGTGGGGAGAAATTTCGATTTCGGCAATTCATAATATGTGGACTGTTTTTCACTAAAGTAGGTTTTTAGTCCAAAAATGTTTTCACCCAAAATCAAAATGTAAATTTTCAATGAGTCTGGCATTAGTTTTTTAGCTCAAAAAGTTTTAACTTTTCCCCCTCCACCTGTTTCCCTTATCTACCTTCTTTGATATTCTCTCTCTCTATCTCTCTCATTTCCCCTCCCTATTTCTTTTCGTAACATGTGTTGGAAATCACGGTGTTTACAGTGGTACGAAATTCACGATGGTCAGGTTGAACCAATCAAAGCGCGAGAGTTTGCTGCTCATGCAGTTAGAATGCTCAAGCAATACAGCATGCCATGCATGCAGACCTTCCACTGATATAACTATCTCAAAAAACCTTTTTCTCAAATTGTGAATGATTGTAACGTGCATTTTATCAAATCTCTTTTAGGACACAGTTCTTGGCATTCAAGCCATGTCAGAGTTTGCCAGGCTTATCTACTCCTCATCTCAAAAGTTCACTGTAAGACTGACGCAGACCACTGATAAAGGGTTCAGCAAGACTATCAACGTAGATCAATCCAATGCTATGGTATTACAACAAGTACTGGTAAGTGAATAATGCGTAACTATCTTGCTCTTACTTTCCATACACTGGTCAAATACAAAGCAATTAGTCGAGGTTACGAGGTCCAAGTTCGAATAATCCTTTGAAAAATGGCTTGAAACCTCCCTTCAGTGTTTTGTGTTTGACCAATGAACCGATGTATGGAAAATGGTGAATAGTAAAAATTGAACACACAACACACGATTCTTTGGTCTTGTTAAGCATATCTGAATGATGTTACTTGTTGGTGTTGTGTAGTGTTCAAAATGCAAGTAGTGCTGCGTGACAAATGTTGCGTGACATGAGGTGATCTGTTGTGTGGTGTTCTAGAAATGCGTCACCATAGTGCTACGTGATAATGTTGCGCTACGATACTCATTTGGTACTATGGCGCAATCACTTCTACCTTTTCTTGATTTTTAGATCTCGAAGGTCGAAGGAAGTTTAAAGATCCAAGCCAATGGTCACGGTATTGGAATACTACAGGTTGGCGTGACATACCACGTGGACAAAGCGCCTGATATGAGTAATTTTGATTTCGTGATTAAGGTACGTCTTGTAATAAAGCGTTTTTCGTATGAGTGGTGTAAACGATACGACAAATTTGTGGTCGTAATTTAGTCGTTCCCTAACCGTAACTATTCGTTGTGGTTGGATGAATTATGGAAAGACAATGGCTAGTCATTTTGATGTTACTTTATGTGGTATTGCGTACGTGCTGAATTCTGTACCCTGGAACCCAATCTTAAACCACGGAGATGAGAGACGATGGCAGTACCACTGCACCACCTCTAATTTCCTAGGACCAACTAAGTCGTTTGTCATGATTAATTTTATCAGCTAACACAAGCGTTTCTTTAATCCATACAGGTGTTGGAAGCTGGTAACTATGAGATGAAAACCCACGCATGCGCAACATGGCTGGGCGAAGGACCAGACTCGGACATGGCTGTCATGGAGCTTGGAGTGAGTTCTGGTTTTGCACCCGATCAAGACGCCGTGAATGAGGTAAATGTTTTCTTGTAAAGCGGACTCTGTTTAAAATGTTGTCATTGGAAATTGATAAAGCACGTGGTAGGGGCATAAATGTCACGTGACATTGCCTGTATTCATTGGCTTTCATTTCTGTCTCGATTTGAAATATCCCGTTGGAAGATAAGAAGTAGCACGTGATGGGTATATGTATGACACGTGACAGATGCATGGACTGTACGTGATAGCGCGTACTTTTTTTCTGTTTCTAATTGAAATTTTGCAATGGAAAACTAGAAGTAGGTCAGCACATGACAGGTGCGTGAATGGCGCGTGACATCGCTTGACATCGCCTTTTTTGGCCGGCTTTTTTGTGTATAGTTAGATTCACGTCGAGTTTATTAATTGAATAGTTTTCTGTGATTAATTTGTCTGTTTTTATGGTTTTCTTAGATGTTGAAAGACAGAAGTGTAAACGTCAAGAGAGCCGAGACGGTTGACAAGAAACTCATTCTTTACTTTGATAAGGTGAGCTAAACATCTCAACTCACTGCGTATTACGTCATTGCACTAACAGGTCACGTGACCACATCACCCTAAAATCAAGCACTAGTTTGAAAAGGAACTCCAAAAGTGAAAAAAATCATCTCGATATTACTAATGAAGTGACGCCATTATCGTAACAAAGCTTCGTATATTTGCTCCCCTGAACGTCCCATAATGCCTTGCGATTCAAGATGGCCGCCGTGTTGTCGAAGATGTCCATTGTTTACTAGTTATTTGTTATTTCACTCCAGATCAGTAAAATCAAAGCTACATGTATCAACATGCGATATGAGCGAACCCATCCTGTTGGGAAAGGACAGCCTGTACCTGCCGTCATATACGACTATTACAACCCCGGTATGTATTGAGGAAATAGATAACGCGCGCGTGTGCTTTGTGCAGTCATAAAGCACGCGGGGGTTGGCGGAACACGAGAGACGTGTTAGGAAAAGAACGACGCGTAGTGTAGTGGACACTTCTCGACTGAGTGTTCTGCCAATCCCCAAGTGCTTTATAACGGCACACGGCACCGCAAGCGAGTTTTAAATTTCTTTTATAAAATACAAATTACAATGATAAGTAGGAATGACGCAACGGAAAGTGCGCGCGAGTGCAATGTGCTCTTATAAAGCACGCGYTCCAAGCCAATCAGAACGCGACATTCATTACAGTGATTTTATAATTATAAGTAATACCGACATAATATCTATATACGATATACGTATACATATACATATGCAATCCCAATATACATAGGTCCCGATATCTATCTTGATATACATCTGTAGTAACCTTGGTATGTATTCGATATACACCTAATTGAAAAAACGTTGTCGGGTTCAAAAAAAGGTTATATCATCAAAGCTAAGACTGAAGGGGAGCATGGGAAGACAAACAATTATGCTAATTTCATGCGTATTGCAATTTTCCCTGGTTCCTGTGCACATTTTATGCATCATGGCTTTGGCATGTTGTTAATCTAGGTCGACCGACTTTGCTCTACTGTGCATTTTTACATGTCTATATGCAAATATAATACACATTTCGGAGTACCCAAAATTCTTTTCGGTCTTAGCTTCGATGATATGACCTTCTCGAACCCGACTACGTTTTTTCCGTTAGGTGTATACACGCTCTTGAATTTAGGTTTCATCTCTATCCTGTTTAACTCTGTCTTTGCACTGGGCAAGATTCTTTGATAGTATTCCACTATTGGTGGCATTATTAATTATATGTATTTTGCTCTGATTGGCTGTTATGTCAATACATTCTCACGCGCGTTCTGATTGGTCTTTAAGTACACCCCAGTCTCATATGAAACTCATAAAATCAGGCTTTCGTGCAGAAAGCTTTTCCTCTAATCTAACAAAGCCAAGTTTCCCACTGTGTACTTTAATTGCTGAACTCTGCTCTATAAGAGCATATTGTTTGTTATTTAAAGCGCTTGGGATTATATACCGATCAAGTAATAACACTGATTATGATCCATGATCCTGCTATGATTAATGTTATTGCAGTCATTCGTAGAGGTCTCTTTGTCGTGTTCGTGTTTCAGTGATTTTACGATAAGAATTGTTCAAAAAAAATATCTAGAAAGATGGATCCAGGTTTTGAAAGATAAACAAAACCTCTTATTTATCATAGTTTCCTTGTTATAAAAGAAAAAAACCCGGGTTTTTCTTATTTTGCTTCGCAATCGAGTCGCTCCTTAAAAGTATTCCATCTCATCATCTTTCGTACTTTTTGGCGCTCTAGGTTGATTAACAACATTACGAACAGCACCGCGTTATTTTGTTTTGCTCAAAAATTTTTTCGTAATTGTTAAAAAACTCAAGATTATCGCACAATTTTACAATTTTTGGAACAAAGTTTTTGCAGAACTTTTACTTTAAACATTTTTCGTATTGAACGTTTTTACATTCGGRTTTTGTACATCCTCATAAAATCGTTCAATCAAAACGCGTTCTGTTTATAAAATTCATAAAAAAATTGTCAATTGTTCTAAATTTTACACAAATCTCTTGTCTGTTTTATTTCCATTGCTAACTAACTCCCCTTAAAAGACTCCAGATTTAATTGTATTATCGTACAATTTGTACTTTACAGTACTCTTTGTTATCGTAAATCCCTTCAAGCATTCCAAACGTTACTGCTCCAAAGTTTGGCAGAAGTTATAAATATTGGCAAATTTTCACAGCCTGCTGTCGCACGTCTGTACACTCATGCAGTAAGCTTCTGAAATTCGTTTATAAAATTACATTGACTGGATGATTATATTTGCTCGACTTTTTGTACTTTGTTTACACTTTTTAGAAAGAATTCTACCTTGTTATCAAGACATTCCACATAACACGAAAGACCAACTCTTAATTGGCTTTTCACTATCGTGTTTGCAACTTATAAACCAAAAATGTATCCCAAGTTATAGCTTTCAATAGTTAAAAATCATTTAATGAACGGAAGTTTTGCTTACAATCGTGAAATCGTTCTAATTTCGTTAAGAAAATAAATAACCATCGTTTATAATTGGTTTGCTTGAGTCGGCAATTAAGAATATGAGTGCAAATGAGAATCGGCACAAAAATGGATTCCCTACCACTTTGATATCAAACTAAAAGTAGTGTACTTCATAAATCAGATGAAATCTGGAATTTTGTATTCATTCGATGCAAAATAAAGACGATTTGAACTGCTTCGATCTGATAAGCTACAATTTAATTACTGTCAGTGATTATTGACGATAAAAACCGCTTTTTGTTATTGTTTTAAGTGAGCTTGTTATTGTCCTAAAAGAGGTGTTATTGCGATGGCGTAGAGATTTGAAATTAAAAAGCCAATCGGAGAGGTCATTACATCATTTGTTAATCTTACTTCTCATAATAGAGGATTCTGATCTTAAGGATTATTCGGTCTGTATGGAGTATGAATATTGAAAAGGGTGATATTTTAGCGAGTCGCTTTTTGTCGAGAGAAGATGGTTTGCGAAGCTTCTTAAAAAGAGCTTGGAAAACGTGTAAGCTTTGGTGAACGTCAAAAGCGTGTGATTTTTGGTGTGAGCTTTGGCGAAAGTCAGTTCTGTTTGGTTTCCATCTACCCAACTAGAACTTTACACTTATAATTAACAAAAACAATTATCAATTACAATAATTTGCTTTAAAAAAAATTACCATTACAAACGTGGTATTGTGAAGCTTTTGAGCCTCAAGAAGAATGAGTGAATTCTTGTTCAAAGCATTCCATCTTCTCAGGATTTTTACAGCTTTCAACCACTTCGAGCCATCAATATATCAACACCTGTCGAGAATGGGGGAAAACTACTCGGCTCCTAACTGATAGTCATAATATTTGTTTGATTCAAATATACTCGTTCTTCGACGAAGAAATGGTGGACAGCTTGAATGCAAATTTCGATGTCGTTGACGTCGCATACAATTTACTGCTGTTCTCGACAAGGAAAGAATGTACCAGAGCTGTTGCTTATCAAGAGCTTGAAGATAAAAGTCTTGCTAAAGCTATACAACGCTGGGTAAGGAGTGACGAAGAGATTTATCTCGGGTTTTTACTGCTGTACGAAGGAATTAACGTCTTGTACTATGGAACGACGGGGAACGAAGATAACCCGGGAATGGCCGAAAATCACGAGCCGAATGAGAAGGAAAAAATGCTGCAGGGTGAAGAGAATAACGAGTCTTTTCAACCAAAGACACAACAAACGAATCGAAAAGGAAGATTTAAAGGAATCTTTCAGTGTCTTCGTTCAAGGAAAGATAAAAATATCTCAACGAAAAGCGGATCTGACCAGGAAATCGAATTATCCTCGCTGTCTTGTATCCCAGAAACAAGCGAAAAATCCCTCAAAGAAAGCGCGGAAGAACAATTGCAAGACTCTATTGATGGACTCGATTTTTTCAACGATGGTTTTCGTGTGACGATTTGTGAACCTGAATTAGATCTTACGACAACCGAAGATGAAGAAGACAATACGACGCATGCGCGAGGAAGAATAGCGGACACTCTTTCTAATGGCGTCCATACAAAACCTCTTGGTCAATCGCGCAATGAAAACATGAACTTAATTACCACTTCAAGATTCTTAGAAGCGAGGTCGAAATTTCAAGAAGTCGATAGTCGTCTGAAAAGATACCCTTTAGACCAGAGACAGATCTCCTTATCAAACAGATTAAAGTTTTTTCGATTAGCGATAGCTTGTACCATGCTTATGACCATTAATGACCCAAAATTAGGTCTCGACGACTGTAGAAATCGTATTGACCAGTTGAACTCAATGAAATACGTAAGACGTTTAGTTACGAAAGCGCTTGAGGCACCGTCTGGTCTGAGACGACGAGTAAATAGAAAACTGTGCGGTCAAAAGTGGAGAAAAATGCTGGAAAAAGTGCATTTTGTAAATTACATGGTTTGGCAGTGGATAATGATGTGGAAGGATACGCCAAAAACCGGTTTGGAACTGGAAATTCCTGTTATCCATGCAGATTTTGGCGCCGTTCAACCTGTAGATGACTGGAAACTACGAGACAAGTGTCAGACGTGTGTGGAATTTGGGCAACAGATGGTTCACTCGTGCACCTTGGCTGTCAACAGTAAAGATCAATTGATTCTAATAGACGCTAATAATATCGTTAGTACTTATACCATAGAGGGCAAGCAAGTAATGTCATTCAGAGCCTCGACTCGAAGACACCCTCATTCCAGATGGATCATTGGATTAGATGAAATGGATAACATCTACGTTGGTAGTACTCTGGGAATACGCTACCATAAAAAGCGACCTCTCTCGGTATTCAGTCCCGCGGGACGCCTCGTAAGTGAGCCCGAACTGCGCGGGATGCGAGGAAAGTTCAACCTTTACACCGTGACGAAGAAGGGACTAATTTTAGTCCTTACCGTCGGAGCGTCTGTCGGGAATGTGGTATCAGTACACCAGCAACAGGACAAGCAACTCGTTACGTCTTTTCAAGTGAGAGAGATTGAATTCCCCCGCCATTTCACTACAGGTAAAGACACCATTATCGTCGGCGGAATGACTTCCACAGAATCTAACGAGTTCGCTTTTCAAGTATTCGATCAATCTGGTCAGCAGTTGTTCTTTTTCAAACCGGAAGTGGATTTCCAAACCTGTGCAGTCGATCCGTGGACTGGGAACATTTTACTGGTGAAAATCAACAGGCTTCGAGATTATCGGTATTATATGTGCGATACTGTCGTATTGACCGGTGAAATCCATATCCTGTCACCGACTGGTGAAATCATTCAGTCCAGGGTTAAATTAAGGTGGCCATTTTTGGTCGTTGCCGGGGTAACGGTGCTGAGATGCGGACTAGTTGCCTTGGTAACGGTTGAAGATCCATACTATGCAATCCATATCATTTGATTCCAGAATTTGACATGAAATACCTCTTTAGCTTTGGCCGAGATTGTCTTTTCACATTTCAGACCACATGTCATTCCCTAGAGTATCATTTCTTTGTTTAACGGTTGTGCACGAGAAGACACATGAATATAGTTACAACGCGAACAAAGAATCTTATTCTCACTGAAGGGAATGACACGTTGCCTGAAATGGGGAAACATTACTTCCAAGTTAAACATTGCGCACTAGCTATAGTACCATTCTAAGGAATATACTGTATTTACCACAGACAGGAGAATAATAAGGAATTAATGTCAAGCTTATCACTAACATAAGAATAATATTTTATTAAAACACATGTACAAGTAGAGCTTTTTTCTTTAGAGTTATTGAAATAAATTAAAACCACTTCTGGAATGATTGTAATATCTGGTTGTAGAGAGAGTGTAAGCAAACTAACCTTGAAATTACCCCTTATATTAGCAATTGTGGCGTAGATGCGCGCGCTACTAGAGAAGCAAAAGGTCAATAGTTCGAACCCCTAGCCATGACCTCACACACTTGTTCAGACCCCTCTATAGTCTGGGTAACTTTAGCTTTAATTTCTGAGCACCTATGGAGACGGGACGTAAAGTGCGCACAATCAGCTTCTGAGAAGACCAGCCAAGGGTGGATCCAGCCAAAATTGGGGGGGGGGGGGGGCTAATTGAGTTTCTTCCATCAACACAACGGAAAACAATGAAAAAAAGCATCTAATTCTTCAGTTTTGTTTTGTTTTGTTTTCCGCCCTTTGCCCCCCCCCCCTGGATCCGCCCTTGCCAGCTACACCAGTTACTAGCTGAAGGAACATTGCCTTTTTTGCCTTTGGCTTTGGGTGGGCTATAGTTGCTTGTTGTAGGAATGGATGAGTGCATATCTTATATCCGTGAAAAACATAACTAGCAAAATTGTACGAATTAATGCAAAGTTTTGTTGATCCACTGAGGTCTACTGAGGTCTACTGAACTTACGTAATTTGTGCAAATTTGTGCAATTTCTTACGACGTTTTTCACTCTTGTGTTGTTTTTTTTTTTCGATGATGGTCTTCAAGATGTTAATCGTTAAATATATTTGTTGTATTCCAGAACACCGTGCAGAAGCGTTGTACACATCTGACAAGCTAAGAAACACTGGTGTGTGTCGCGTGTGTCCCATGTGCATCAACTGCAATCATGCATACAAACCCAAAGATGATCCTTCCAGAAGTTCATCTTCAAATCATCGAAACATCATCACTATTACTGTTTACCTGGTTACCCTGGCGTTATTTGCTGTGTGTTAATGTACAGAGGAGAAAAACGACAAGGCTGCTACTTTCGCTATTTTTTTCTTTATCTCTCATTCATGCTTAAAAACGTTTAGTGTTTCATTCGTGTCTCTTGTGTTTTAAACTTTTCACCAAATTCTGCTAACCTCGAGCAATAGTCCCCTTCAMAGTTCCCTGCGCCATCTTGAAAGGCAGCCGTGCCTCTGCATCGAAGCGAGACGAACGGTGAGCTTGCAATGATAGAGACCTTTTTTTAACACCTTGGACAATTATTCACATGTCTCTATCATT